CTCCGCGGTCACCTTCTCGGCGGTGAACTGTGCGGCCAGCTCGTCCAGCAACTCAATGCACGATTCGAGGGTAATTCGAACGCTGGGCACGCTGGTGCGTACAAAGTCGCGCAGAGCCTTTGCCGTAAAGTCGGAGCCATCCTCGGCCTTGCGCTCAAAGGTAATCGGCGAGTCGAGTTGACCGCGCTTGAAGAGCACCACTACCGGCAGCGACTCAGTCTTGGCGGCGTTCAGCTTCTCAGCGAAACGGCGCTCCTCAGAGACATCCTCGTCCTTTTCAGTATCGCCGCGATAGGGCACCTTCACCTCGGCCACGAGAACGCTGGGCGTGAAACGAAGGTCAGTGGCAAACTGCTTGTACTGCTTGTCCAGTTCAGACTTGGAGGGATAGCTCTCATCAAACTTAACTAGAACGGCATCAAAGTTGGCGACGACCTGCAAACAAGAGAAAGGAAGTTTGTGAGGGTGATCCCACATGGCGATGACACTTCGTGCTTACCTTTCGCACGGCCTGGTACGTGAGCTGTGTCACCTCGCTGTCACTGGAGAGGGCAACACCGGCGAAAAGCAGGGTGGACGACAACAACAAAATGGAGTTACGGGCCAGCATTTTGTCTCGCAATTTAGGGGGAGAAAGAGGAGATTGACTAGTTGACTGGTTGAGCGGAGAGTGTCTTGTAGTGATCTGTCGCTGTCACTAATGATGACTCGTTTTTATCCTCACCGTATCACAGTAATCGAACTCTCAAGAGCGAGCGAGTAAGCTGACACTGTGAGCAGCAGCTGTCACAGCTGGCCGCCGCCACCACTGCTGCTGATGCTGCTGTTGTTGACGTGCCATTCTGTCATTGGGCGACCAGAACAAGAGAGAGAGAGACAGAGAGACAGATATCAGCTCATCATCAAATACCGGTGGCGTAACGGCATAGCCCAGATAGCGGCGGTAGTGGTCGTCGTGGTAGTGGCGATGGTGGTAGTGGTGGTGGTAATGTCAACCAGGATTCACTTGAATACGATTTTTAACCAAAACTTGAAATGGTCTTTAGAGAAATATGAAACAGGGCAAATGAGACTGGGATACTTCTTTCTGTACTTTCATTTGTTGTTTCCAACTGGTGACAGCGTTTTCAGTTGTTTTTCGTACAGCGCTGTACGAAGGTTGCATCGTCCCCCAACAGAGGGCTCTACTTGTCTGCACAACAATTTTTGAAAACAAATGAAAACAAAAAAACCGTTGCGCCAAAATCTGTTGATCTGCATCTTCTGTCCTTTCTTTCTTTGTGCATCGCATCTTCGGCCTTTGAAGATGGAGAACAACAAAGTATTTTCAATTTACGAGAAGTACCTGACGGCGGACAATTACACCGATGCGGAGGATGAGTCTGACATTGAGATGTCATTCGGTGATGATCTGCTCGAGGACATGGTCGCCAAGTCCAAAAGTCGCCGGTCATCAGTTTCGCCGCTGAACTCAACGACACAGACAAAGACAACTTCAGTAGACGAGACGAATTTACCTGTTCCTCAAGGAGATCAAGGGGGAATCGTGAAAATAGCCGCCGACCTTTTGAAAAGTTGTGAAACTAACTCCATAATTCCCGTTCAGCATCGCGCAAAGCTTTCTCAGATGGGCGAAGAAAAGGTACTCAATTTCATTGTGGATCTCTTGGATGATTTAAAGAACAAAAAAGACAATGAGCCAAGGGAGTATGCTAAAAAGCGACTGGAAAAGTGTCGAAACGAGCTGGCTACAATAAGGCGGCTGTTTGAAGAGGAAGAATCGAGATTCTCTCAAGAACTGGCGATCACTAGAGAGACGAACTTTAAAGACAAGTTTAAAATGGACGCGACATTGAAAGCAAAATCCAATCTAGAAGAAATTGTAAGCGATATTCAGAAAAATACTGCCATTTTAAAAGAGGAGATTTTCAAATTGTCAATGTGCAAAGAAGTGGGGCTCACTTCGATGCCTTTACCGTAATCCAATTTCATTCCTTCTTTTGTGGTTTAATATACTGGCTATATTTCTCAATTGTCACCGGCACTTTTGGCAGTCGAAAGTTGACCTTTTTACGAAATTAAAAACGATTTGACTCAAATTGACACAATTGGCCTGAAAACTCAATTTACTTGTGCGAATGAGCTCCAAAAAAGCCTCGTAATTTGCCAATTACTTTAACTTTTTTCCAAATGTCGATTTGCTGAATTGCCCAGGAAATGCTTCACGGAAGTGCTACGGCATTTATTCTCTGCTTATTCTGCGCGCCCACACTGCTAAATCCTCATATATTCGCTCGGCAAATGAGCTTTTGTAGCTACAAACAGTTTGTTTATGGAGCAGCAATGCCTGCAAGGTACAAAACTCGGCCTGCAAACACACAGTTAATTGGTCGATTATTCACCACCTTGGCGAGCACTATACCGGGTAAAAGGTTAGTCTGTATAATAATGTACAAAAAAGAAAGTATCTTTTTGCCTTTTCATGATGCTCGCATTCCCGGACAGTGATTCGAAAAAGAGTAAGCAAACACACAGTGTAAAGGCAATTGCTGTGAAAGTTTTTTCTCCTCCTCCTCCTCTTCCTTCTCACTGGCACTAGGATGCCTTTGTGATCGATGGCCTCCATTACGTCTATCCGGTAATGGAAGGAAGGGAAGAAGGCCTCAATCCATGTGCAGCAGCATTCAGCTAGCCAACTCCCCATTTGTCTCCATTAAACTGTCAGCCATGTGTAACTAAACTCCCCGTGGTGGTGTGTGCTTGCGTCTGTGTGCATAAGGAAACACGCACATGGAATGCAGACAACGACTGGACACAGAGGAGGAGGAGGAGGCTGTTGCAGGCACTAATTGGCCACATCACTGCCTGTCTGCACTAATTGTCTAGTCGGTGTTCGGGTTTGCTTTGCTTTGCCTTGTGGTTTGCTTCGGTTCGATGTGAGTGCTCCAGCAGAGACGGACAGCAACACCGGAGACCACCGCAATCAAGTCCGGCGTCAAGTGAGGCGAACCACTTCTGCTGCTGCTGCCAAATCGACTTTTCCCCTCCATTAACTCTACCGTCCACTACTTTGCTCCACTTTCAACTGGCCACCACAAGAATCATCAGCATCAGCAGCAACGTGGCCTGTAACAGCAGAACAACCTTCAGCGCATCCTAAATTAGAAATTAAATTAAAGACCGCAAACACACTTGAATCAACTGGAATATTCCCGGAGAGAAAGAACGGAGTATCGGACATAGGGGTCTGAGTTTCGGGGAATTTCACAGCACAACAATTCGAACGTAGGTTGAGTTTCAGTTGGAGTGAATGCCATTGAACTACAACTACTACTGCCATCACTCCTCTACGACTGTCACCGAGCACTAGTAGACTGCATTGACCCAGACAGTTTCAATGGCACTTGAGCCTTGGACTTGGACGCCTCGATTAATTGGCGCACTGCCGCCGTTCCCCTCTCCGCCTTTGCTGGTGCTGTTGCTGGCGTCACCACTACCAACTACGACTTCTAGCTGCATTTGGCTAGCACTGCCATGGACCCGTAATTAAGCCGCTTATGCTTGATTGACAGCTCACCCGAATTGAAGTGCGAGTGCGCCAGTCGTGAGCACCGAGGACGACGAATTGGTGCGACACACACTCAGACAATTCAACCCGAACTAGGCGCTCACATTTTACTCTTTCTGTTTTATTTTTTCAATTGTAATTTCAAATCAGTGGATGGCAACGGAAGCACCTGCAGCACGACAATGTTGGACAATGGAAAAGAGTCACCCGAAATGCTTTGTACTTTTGAGCAGAACTCGACTTGACACGCCTGTCACTGCCAGGTAGTGTCTGTCTGCCTGTGCTTGTGCTGACGTAAACTGAATCCGCTCCTCTGTACAGTAGAACTCAATCTGCCGATTGTTCTGCACTGTGCGCATATATCATTGCAGTCAACCAGACAATTCTGTTCTCTGTTTTACTGTTTTGCTGACGTACTCAATCGGTTGGTATTGGCAATATTGGCCCGTTTAAACGGCTGCTGCTGCTGTTGCTGCTGTCGCCGAACATCTCATTCCGATTGACGAGCGCTATTATTGGGACCGCTCAGCAGCTCTCGCTCTCCGGCGACAAGGCTTCATTCAACGCTCAATTAGCATCACAAATGGATAGTGGTTGTAGTGGATTGATTGGGGGTGGTGGTTGCAGCCAAGCAGGCACAGACAATCACTAGAGATCCCGCTATATACTTTTGCGCGCGCGATTTTCGCGTAACAATTGTAAATTAGAGCCCTGGAAATGCAAATTGAAAGTGCTCCAAGCTGAATGAATGAATGAATGCAGCAGCAGCAGATGATGACATTTGCCGCCTCACTTGCCGATTGCCAATTGAGTTTGCTGGTTTTGACTTTTTATGGTCCTCCTCTTGTTTCTTGTTCACTGAATGGTCCTTTACAAAATATCTTATTTTGTTGAAACCCTCTCTTGCCTTTAGCACAGTGCAAAAACGGTGCATTAGAAGGTGCTGAAAAACTCTCCTCGATCCATCCTCCTTCTCCTGCTGTTGCTATCTTCAGCTTCTGTTTCTTTTTCTTTCAATTCTCAGGCAAAACCGAATCGATTGACCTCAATTGATGGCGGTGCGGCGGCGGCGTCGGCCATTTGTGGATCGATCTTTGACTGCACTGTCAATGTGTGAATGCTACGCTGGTGTTGGTGCTGCGGCTAGTGATTGTCACTTTATTGATGACACTGCCTCTGCTGCTGCTGCTGACACAATATGCCACCATCTGTGTGTGTGGGGGTGAGATGATTGATTGGCAGTTGCTGGTGCTGGCTGTAGTGGTGGTGGTCGCGGTGGGGCTGCCCGTCCGTTTAGAGAGTAAAAAAGAGAGATCGAATTTGAGGGAACGATTTTAGCTGCTGCTTGCTAGGAAGGCAGAGGAAGTCGAAGGAGTTTCGTACTTCCTCCTTCTTTGTTTTGTGCTGATATTCATGCCTTTTTCTTTCTGTTGTCGTCATCAGGGCCTCCTCTCCCGCTGCAGATTCGCCTCCACCGTCAGCTCGATGGCGTTGTTGCCGAGGAAGTAGTCGGTGGAGAGGACGTTCATGCACTGCCACCAGTCCTCGAAGAGGCGCACCGTCAGCTGGTGGTTCACCGTCTCCGCCATCGCCCGCACGCCGTCGTACTTGTCGCGCAGCAGGCCGAAGAAGCGCGGCGTCAGGGCGCCCATCAGCGAGACGACGTAGGGGGCGGAAGGCGAGCGACAGGAGCGCTCGTTTAAGTAGCGGTAGAGGAGGCCGGCGTCGTCTGTCTCCGGCCAGACGTGCAGCGAGTTGACGAAGAAGTGCCGTCGATTGCGTTTCTCGCGGGCGTAGCACACGAAGACGCGCTTGTTCGCCGCTGCCAGCTCGCGCACCGACTTGCTGAAACCGAGCTCCACGGGAACGATAAAGGCGGAGAGGTAGTCGAGGATGAGGCGCTCGATGATGGCGTGTCGGCTGTCCACCTCGCCCTGCCACTCCTCGAAGCCCTCCTCGAAGCGGTGAAAGTCGAGGATGATGATTTCCTGAGAGGTAGACAGGAGGAAGGCAAGCACTTGTTCGAGGACCTCTGCCAGTGA